TCAAAAAAAAAACCAAAAAATGTTAAAAGAAAAAAAAAAAGTGGGGACAGGGGCACAGGTTTATTCAGACCTTTCCTCTAGACAGTTCTGGAAGATCCTGGGGTTAAAAACCTGTATCTTTTACATACACACTCACACACTTGGCAAGCTGAATTGTCTACAGGTTTTTCCAAACTTTAATAATACAAAACAAAACCATAAAAAAGAAAAAAAAGCAGTCATAAATAGGAGACAGAATAAATTGTATATAGTGCAGTCATTTCATAGAGTACTGTGCAACCTCTAATATCTCTTTGCTGATACTAGATTTCAAAATGCACTGTTATACACCCTACTCTTTTCACTTAGTTTGTGTGTGTGTGTGTGTGTGTGTGTGTGTTTTAAATGAGTAGGTTGGAAGAAGGCAGGGAGAAGGGGGTGGGGTGAGTGTGGACAGAGTCAGGTTGCTTGCTGCAGGGCCCCTTGCATTAGTTCAGGTGAGGTGAGACCCGAGTAGGCTGGTGAGCCTGGAGGAGAGACTCTCTGTGTATTTAGTTGATTTCCAGCTTTTTTTCTCTATTCACTTAGGTAATACACATTTATTTTTTGAATTTTTATTTAAGTGATTTTTTTTGTTGTTACTGGATCTACAAACAGCCCAACTCCAAGGAATCTGGGATCTCTCAATGGAGCATACAGGTGACTTCATAATCTAACTGCATTAGTACCCACCAAAATTCGAAGTAATTCCTCTGTTTAAATTGCAGCAAAACAAATTTTCAGAGCAGGTTTCTTCAACTGAACAAAATATATTGGACCTTAGAGGTAGTATGGCTCTCCTGATCAGGGAGGGGACAGTGAAAGGTTTTACCTCTGACACTGCCCAGCTCTCTGGATACGACCAGGTGACTTTGAGTGAGGAGAAGTTTCCTGACTCCTCGTGTTACCCTCATATTACCTTCCTTAGGATAGACTTTGGGCCTGCAGTGACATTAGTCCTAACTTGCTCTCAGTTAAGAAGAGTTCATCTTTTCTAATAGAAACATGACGGCAAAGCAGCTCAAACTTCAAAGAGTCATCGGGCCATAGATTGTACAGATGTTTACATTTTCTTAATAATAGTCTATATTCTTCAAAAAGGACACGCAGATCTTGGTGTAACATACTTAAGTAAAATAGTTTATTTCATCTGCTTTACAAGAGAAAGAAAAGAATGTTGGCCAGGCACAGTGGCTTTTACCTGTAATCCCAGCACCTTGAGAGGCTGAGGTGAGTGGATCACTTCAGCCCAGAAGCTCGAGACCAGCCTGAGCAATGTGGTGAAACCTGTTTCTACAAAAAATACAAAATTAGACCAGGCGTGGTGGCTCATGCCTATAATCCCAGCACTTTGGGAGGCGGATCAGCTGAGGTCAGGAGTTCAAGACCGGCCTGGCCAACATGGTGAAACTATGTCTACTAAAAATAGAAAAAACTAGCCAGGCATGGTGGTGTGCACCTGTAATCCCAGCTGCTCAGGAGGCTGAGGCAGCAGAATCATTTGAACATGCAGGGCATACACAAGTAACCTCCAAGAATGTGGTGACACTGCTCCTTTGGCCCAAGACCTGTGCCTTAGCCTGTGCCGCTCCATTGGCTAAAATGTGTTTCACAGTTATGTGCATAGTGACACTTAAACTCAGCCTTCAGAGCGGAGCCCAGGGGTCCTGTTCTGCCCTTCATTCCCTCCAGACAGCTGATTAATGACCTTCTGCTATATGGAACCTTGATACCTTCCTTGACTTATCATCTTCTTATAGTCTAATTATTTGCATGTCTTACCTCCCCTGACATAGGTACCTGACATACATATACTATTTAATTTTCACTTTCCATTTACCACTAAAAATTTAAAATTCATACTATACTGAACCTTAAATGCTTATGTTTATTAAGTATATGGCTCATCCTGTGGATACCTCTTCACTTGGACATTGTATCCTTTACTGTTGAGCAATTTTTATTCAGTATTTGCTGTTAAAAGCCTTGCTGTGACTATATTATGGCTGAATCTTTGTGTACATGTTGTGTGAATTATTTTCTTAATCTATAATCTTAGAAGGAAAATTATGGTTGTGTGTTTGTGTTCATATTCATTACATATCGGTGGCTCCGGCACATATATGCTCCTTAGGAACCAGTGTTTCTGATTCTTTCTGTGCCTCAGCTCTATGCTTTTTTACTTTGAGAGTAGTCACGGTTCTCTTTAACATCTTTTGTCCTAAATGTTTAGCAGTTCACTACAGCATGTGTGTAGTATGAGGAAGAAAAAAAACATAAGGAACTTGGCAATTTTTTGTTCTAAGTCAAATACCTAGACATTTTTTCGTTGTTTTTATTATTTCTCATAGAAACCCTTAAATATGGTTTGGATTGCTTCTACCTCTTAGCTGTTGTGAATAGTACTTGTGTGAACATGGGTGTGCAAAGTCTTTGAGACTTTGTTTCAGTTATTTTGGTTATATCCCCAGAATTAGGATTGTTGGATTGTATGTTTTGTTTTACAAAAAAAAGGGTATTACTGTCACCCAGGCTGGAACACAGTGACATGAACACAGCTCACTGCAACCTCAACTTCCTGGGCTCAAGAGGTCCTTCTGCCTCCACCTTCCCAGTAGCTGGGACTGCAGGTACATGCCACCATGCCTAGCTAATTTATTTTTATTTTTGTAGAGACAGGGTCTCACTGTGTTGTCCAGGCTGTTCACAAATTCCTGGGGACTGCAGGTGCATGCCACCATGCCTAGCTAATTTATTTTTATTTTTGTAGAGACAGGGTCTCACTGTGTTGTCCAGGCTTTTCACAAATTCCTGGGGTCATGCGATCCTCCCGCCTTGGTCTTCCAAAGTGCTGAGATTACAGGCGTGAGCCACTGCACCTGACTACTATTTTTAATTTTTAAATTATTGTTATTATTTTTAGAAACAAGAGTCTTGCTCTGTTGCCCAGGCTGGACTGCAGTGGTGCAATCATGGTTCACTGCAGCCTTGACCTCCCTAGCTTAACTGATCCTACCACCTCAGCATCCCACGTAGTTGGGGCTACAGGCATGTGCTACTATGCCCAGGTAATTTTTAAATTTTTTGTAGGCATGGGATCTCTTTTATGTTGCCCACACTTGTCTCAAACTCCTGGATTCAAAAGATCCTCTCACCTTAGCCTCCCAAAGTGCTGGGATTACAGGTATGAGCCACCATGCCTGGCCATCTCTTACTGTTAAGGAATTAAAATCCAATTTTAAAATATTTAGCCTGATACGCACGCACACACGTATATACATACGTATACACATACATATATATACACACATATGTATCTATATATATTTCTATTATATCTAAGATATAATACAAATAAAGGTGATTTCCAAGACCAGCACTGGAAGGTAGGAATTGTTCTGAATGACCCAACTATTTGGTTCTGGACTCTCTCAGGGAGGCAGAACGGGAATCAGGTTTAGATGACTGGCAAGGAAAGATCTTGCATTTTACAGAAGCAAGTGTATTATAGGGGCAGAACTTTGGCTAGTTCCACTCAGCTCAGCCTATGTGTGCAGGCTTCAAATCATTTTCAGCACTATCTGGTATAGCTACCTCTTATCACAGGGCAGCCTCACATAGTCATTGCCATCTGTGATATGGTAGCAGGGATATGAACCCTGGAATTGGTCAGACTTCTTTTCAAAATGCTCAGCCGACCAGTTACTAGCTGTGCCTTGAACAAAAGAAAATACTGGTTTTATTCATTTGTAAAACTGGAAAAATAATACTTTATGGAGTTGTTTTGAGCATGGTACATACCTTCAGGCCTTCCTTGCCCTGCTCGTCCCACATCTCCACCTTCCACGATGCATGTTGAGTGTCCCTTACCTGTGTTCCCACATGGATAGTTATCAGAGAAGCTGTCACATTGGTGTAATTGTTCACCTTGGCAAATTCTATTAGTTTGTAAGTTCCTTATCTTTGAATCTCTAGCAACTTAGCAGAGGACCTAGTTCATAGCAGGTACCAAAGAAGTGTAAATATGAATAGAATGAATGCATGTCTTGCTATAGAATGTGCGTCTATTTCAGCAGGATAATATACCGTCATGTAGTGTAGTCAGTACTTACAAACTAGTCTAGTGCCTCTCAAAATTTTTTGGTGTTAGAACTCCTTTACACTCTTAAAAAAATTACTGTGGTCCCCAAACAGCCTGTGTTTATATGGACTCATATTCCAGGTCTTTAGGAATTTAAAATAATAATTTTAAGGTGATGATAAACACATGTTAACACATTTCCATGAAAAATAACTATTCATGTCCCCCATTTTTTTCTAATGATTTTACAGTCATTAGAAAATATCTTGCCGGGCGCGGTGGCTCAAGCCTGTAATCCCAGCACTTTGGGAGGCCGAGGCGGGTGGATCACGAGGTCGAGAGATCGAGACCATCCTGGTCAACGTGGTGAAACCCCGTCTCTACTAAAAATACAAAAAAATTAGCTGGGCATGGTGGCACGTGCCTGTAATCCCAGCTACTCAGGCGGCTGAGGCAGGAGAATTGCCTGAACCCAGGAGGCGGAGGTTGCGGTGAGCCGAGATCGCGCCATTGCACTCCAGCCTGGGTAACAAGAGCGAAACTCCGTCTCAAAAAAAAAAAAGGAAATATCTTAAAATTTTCTAAGCCTCTTCATATCTGACTTAAAAGACACATGAAGTTTCCTGTTTACTGCAGTCTGTTGTGATACATCGTTTTGATTAAAGTATATGCAAAAAATCAAGCCTCACATAGATACATAGTTTGAAAAAGGAAAACCTCCTAGACTCCCAAAAGGATCTCAGGAACTTCCAGGGGTCTTTTGAAAGTGCTTTAAGAATCACTGATCTAGCCTGAAAAGGAAAATGTGGTGTCCAGATATTAGAGGATGGATTAGGGAGAAATTCCATGTATTTAGCTCTCTATAAAAACGGGTTTACCCGTTGTCATTTATTATTTGTAGGTTAAAAAAAGTCCTTCATGAAAAAGAAAGCTCTTAAGCAACATGATGGATTCAGAAGCTCATGAAAAGAGACCACCAATACTAACATCTTCAAAACAAGATATGTCACCTCATATTACAAATGTTGGTGAAATGAAGCATTACTTGTGTGGCTGCTGTGCAGCCTTCAACAACGTCGCAATCACATTTCCCATTCAGAAGGTCCTCTTTCGACAGCAGCTATATGGCATCAAAACCCGGGATGCAATACTTCAGTTGAGAAGGGATGGGTTTCGAAACCTGTATCGTGGAATTCTTCCCCCATTGATGCAGAAGACAACTACACTTGCACTTATGTTTGGTCTGTATGAGGATTTATCCTGCCTTCTCCACAAGCATGTCAGTGCTCCAGAGTTTGCAACTCGCAGCGTGGCGGCAGTGCTTGCAGGGACAACAGAAGCAATTTTCACTCCACTGGAAAGAGTTCAGACATTGCTTCAAGACCACAAGCATCATGACAAATTTACCAACACTTACCAGGCTTTCAAGGCACTGAAATGTCATGGAATTGGAGAGTATTATCGAGGCTTGGTGCCCATTCTTTTCCGGAATGGACTCAGCAATGTCTTTTTTTTCGGCCTCCGAGGTCCCATTAAGGAGCATCTGCCTACTGCAACGACTCACAGTGCTCATTTGGTCAATGATTTTATCTGTGGAGGTCTGTTGGGTGCCATGTTGGGATTCTTGTTTTTTCCAATTAATGTTGTAAAAACTCGCATACAGTCTCAGATTGGTGGGGAATTTCAGTCTTTCCCCAAGGTTTTCCAAAAAATCTGGCTGGAAAGAGACAGAAAACTGATAAATCTTTTCAGAGGTGCCCATCTGAATTATCATCGGTCCCTTATCTCCTGGGGCATAATCAATGCAACTTATGAGTTTTTGTTAAAGGTTATATGAAAACACCACCAGTTAAGTGCCATTTTTCAACTGAACAGACCTTCTAAGAAGAATGTAGTTTGGCCTCTTTCTTACTTGGCCAAATACAAGTTGGTGTCGTAACTCCAGGCCACAGTGAGTTATGGGCAAAACTGTTTTCCTTAAGCATCAACAAAACAGAATGAAAGGTTCCAATAGGAAAATATGGGGAGTTTTGTTTGTTTTGTTTTTTATCATTACCTAAGAGCTTTAGGCTAATTGCCTGGTAAATAGCTGTCCATCTGATGGACTTTGACAGGAAATCTAATCCTCAAGATAGGATTCTTTTCTTCAGATCAGTCTTGAAATCTTCTGCATTGAAACATAAGTGTTTGTAACCGGCCAGAGAGAAGGTCCTCAGGGGCCAGGGGCTTCTCAGGCTTACTTTCTTACTCCATTGCTTGCTTCTCGACCCTCAGGAGCAGCTGTAGAGGGTAGTCTTCAGTAAGCTCAAGCATATGACAAAGGAGCAGAACAGAGCAGAAAAGCAGCTTATTAAGTATAGGCTTTTCATGGTAAACTGCTTGTATTCATTTTGAAACTAAGCATCTATTGGATAGTCATTATACTATTTCTATTTAGATAGGGTAGATCAAGGAGCTATGAAAGTTTGCATTTTGCTTTCCGGTTTAAAAGTTTTCTGTTTGATTTTGACTGTGACCTTTAACCTTTCCAAAATATCCTTATGTTAATTTCACTTATTTCATTGCCAAAAGATGAAGGGACTTAAATTTTGTTATAAGTGTTCCATCCTGTTAAGAAGTTTTCATATTAATTGTGTAGAGATAAAATTCTGTTTAGCTTCGTTTCTTTGAATTATTGGTGCCGTCTCAGCAAAGGTCTGTGGTTATTTTCCCCCTTAAGTAGGAGCTGGTCATATTCAAGCATCCTGTTCTCTTAAAACTCTCCTTTAAAAAATAAACACTTCCGGCCAGACGCGGTGGCTCAAGCCTGTAATCCCAGCACTTTGGGAGGCCGAGGTGGGTGGATCACAAGGTCGAGAGATCGAGACCAACCTGGTCAACATGGTGAAACCCCGTCTCTACTAAAAATACAAAAAATTAGCTGGGCATGGTGGTGCGTGCCTGTAATCCCAGCTACTCAGGAGGCTGAGGCAGGAGAATTGCTTGAACCCAGGAGGCGGAGGTTGCGGTGAGCCGAGATCGCGCCATTGCACTCCAGCCTGGGTAACAAGAGTGAAACTCCATCTCAAAAAAATAAAAAATAAAAAAATAAACACTTCCATAACATTTTGTTTTGGATGTCTGTCAATGCAATCCCACTTTTCCTCCCTGGTTTCTAAATGTTACAGAGTGGGGAAAAGGCTCAAGATCGTTTTCATTACACAGTGTTGGCTGTCTTTTATTTTATTCTTGGAAATAGAGACTTCATTAGGGTTTTGAGGTTTTGGGAGCCCAGTTTTACCATTGTGTCAGTAAAAGATAGTTTGAGAGCATATGATCTAAATAAACATATTTGAAGGGTTAGTTTGAATTTTAAAAGTAGATAATAGCCAAATAGCATTCTTATCCCTTAACAGATGAAAATTTCTTTGTCAAAGGAATTGGAAAGTGTGAAAATATTTTCCAGATAAAGCAAAATGATTCATATGCCACTCCAACTGACTAATAAAATATAAGAGACAGACTGAAAAAGTGGATTATGAATTCTAACACCATTTCTGTCAATATGTAGTTAAAGATTGATTTCCAGCATCTGACATGATGGTAGGTTTCATGTTAACCAGTTTTTCTTCTTTCTGGGTGATTGCATGTGAGTATGTGCACATACTGACCAAAATAAAATCAGGGCCTCAACTTGGTAGTTTACTGAAAGTTTCTGGGCAAATAGTTCATAAAAGCTGTTTACCTCTAAATGCAGTGTGGCTGGTTAAAAGCAGTGAACATATTTCTTCCAGCTGTAAAGAATGAAGCATATTAAGTGTTAGCCAGGCAGTAATGAAGCTAAGTAGCCATACGGCAGCTCTGTCTGACAATGTTGTGCTGGATATTGCAGTTTACTTTAAGGTGCAGATGTAAGCATTTAAAAAAACAATAATTTGGCACCAAATAAATATGAGTAGCGTCCTTTGGCCTATTAGAGTCAGGATTTGAAGGGAGTCGAGTTTGAGAAATGAATGAATAAAGATGCCTTGGTGCCTGACTCCCTCATTCCTGTATGTGACTCTTCGCACTCACAGGTGTGTCCAGCAACTCCGCACAGGGCAGGTGGTTAAGCCTGGGGTTCTAGCTTGGCCCTGGGAATAGACACCGTTGAGCCTTTGGTTTTGTTGGGCTTCCTTTTGTCTTTACACTCCATACAAGTGCTAGAAATCTAAGTTCTAAAGCACTTTTGTGAAATACAAGCTAAGTGAGAATTCTAAGGAAAATGCTTTTTTTAGTGCTGTCTCAAATAAGTGGCGTTTAAAACAATTACTAATAAATATTTTTAATGGTTTTAACTCGGTATTTTTTTTTTATTTCTTTGTCACTCTTTACAGCTTTTGAAGACCAAACTGCAAATACATGACCAGGGATGGTTTTGTGTTGTCCAGTAGATTTCTTAAATTTGACAAAAAATTCAACAGAACTTGTAACCGACAGCTTTGTCTGAACTTGAAGTCAAAATATGTTGTTAATAAGAGATTCTAACTATTGTTTTTACCTTCAGTGTGAACTAGCATGGTAGCAATTTTGAAAAGGCAGGCCGGTGCGGTGGCTCATGCCTGTAATCCCAGCACTTTGGGAAGCTGAGGTGGGCGGATCGCTTGAGGTCAGGAGTTGGAGACCAACCTGGCCAACATGGCAAAACCCTGTCTCTACTAAAAATACAAAAAATTAGCCAGGCGCAGTGGCACATGCCTGTGATCCCAGCTACTCGGGAGGCTGAGGTGGGAGAATTCCTTGAACCCAGGAGGTGGAGGTTGCAGTGAGCTGAGATCATGCCACTCCACTCCAGCCTGAGCTATAGACCGAGACTTAGTCTCAAAAAAAAAAAAAAGAAAAAAAATGTGAAAAGGCAAACATAATTGAATATCTGAAAGCTTTAAAAGTGGCCTGTTACATATGTGGCACAAATGGCTCATGAGCGCAGGACACTTACGGTCTTGTGTCCTATACTTCATGTTTCATGCCACCAGAAATGTTTTGAATTCTGTATTCAACACACTTAGAGTGGTATGAGCCCTCAGGACTGCACCACAGAGTAAACACACCTTTATATGGTGGCAAATATGTGTGTCTTTCTTGTTTCATTTGTGGTTGGGGACAAAATCCAAATAATTGATACTCAACAAAATTGGCTGTATAATCACCGGCTATATTGTGAACTGTGCAATAAAACAGAATCGTGTGTATATACTTACCTTCGGATACCTGAAATTCCTAAGCTCAGTTACAATGTAATACTCAATATAAGGCTGTGCAAACAACATATAAGGGAATAATGGTGGTTGACGGGGATCTAGAGGGCTTTGAGTGAAGCCAGTCAGGTTTAAGTAACACTGGTTTAGGGTCGATGAAGTCGAGTGAGGGGTATGCAATCATGAAATGAAGGGTGGATAGGAGATGACGAAGAAAGGGTAAGCACTCAAACTTCGTTTCTTTTAAATTAAAATATTTCTTATGTGCAAATGCATATCAAAGACTTGAACAGGCATTCTCTTGAAATCGGGGAATTTTTAGTTTTTAATGCTGTCTTTGTTTAATATTAAATATGTGTTGCCTGATGGCTCCCAAATGGTGTGGGAGTCTCTAAATGTTCCTCTGAAAGGTTCATTATTAAGTTGTTAAGCGCACAATGCTATTTTTGTTTGATAGTTTGAGTTTTATGATCATGTGAGTGTAAATGAAATCTGTTAAATGTTTCAGAATTAACCTTTTTTTTTTTTTTTGATAATTTGGAATAAAGTTTGTTTTTTAAGCCCCTCTTTTTGGTCTCCTCTTATGGTTGAGTAGTTCCTTATTACTAGCATGTTCCTTTTCTGTGGTATTAATAATCTGTTAGTCCTTTTATTCAGAAAACATTTAGCACACTACCTTGACTTTTAGCAACTTAACCTGGGGATGTTGCAAGTAAAACATTCCTTTGTTTATCTATCTTACTTGTTCAAGAGGGATTTCATGTAAGTTTTATTTTCCAGGTGGCTTAACTGCAAAGCTTTTTTTTTTTTTTTTTTTTTTTGGCAGGGTCTCTGTTGCTCGGGCTGGAGTGCAGTGGCCTGACCATGGCTCACTGTAGCCTCGACTTCCTGGGCTCAAGTGATCCTTCTGCCTCAGCCTCCTGAGTAGCTGTGGCTACAGGCACGTGCCACCATGCTCAGCTAATGTTTGTAGAGATGGTGTTTCACCATGTTGCCCAGGCTAGTCTTGAACTCCTGGGCTCAAGCAATCTGCCCTCCTTGGCCTCTCAAAGGGCTGGGATTACAGGCATGAGCCACTGTGCCCATCTGCATTTTATTTCTTAAAGGTCTTCCTCATATGTTATAAACTTCCCTACTGAATATAAACTTCCTTGATTTAGCTTATCAGTACTTTCTGTTGTAATAGAGTAGCCTCATGTAATGTTTACTCCCAAGTTAAATGGTCTGGATGTTTGTGCTTTTTACAGTTTTTTAAAATACCTACTTTTGCCTTCAGAGCTGCTCCTTTCTGTTGTGGCTTATTGGTTAAGAGAATGTGAAGTTTTAGCCATGTTGAGGTTGCCTGATAAGAACAGCAAAGTAAAGGAGCAGTTGCTTCTAAAAGTCCTGTTTGCAATTGAAATCCATCATAAAGAGAAAGTGCAATATCCTGAACTTGTAAAGTTGGAATTGATTTTTAAAATGGTGTATAATAATCACATCATCTGATGAAATGTTTTAACCCACCTCTAGCAGCCATTGTAGAGTTCTAGACCTCCAGAGTGAGGAATAGGCCTGACCAGGAAGAGCCCTGGGGAATCTCCGCATAGCCACAGAGCACTCCCAATCCCTGAGCAGCTGACTCCCATCTTAGATCTATTTATCTGAAGTTTCCAACTAGGGAATTTTTTCTCC